AGTGACTCGGCTTCCCTGGGCCCCCAGCCCCTCATCTATAAAATGGGGAGAGGGGAAGAACCAGGCTTGTGGCAAAAAATTAATGATTTCAATATGGAGAAAGTCCTTCAAAATGCCAAGCACACAGCGGAGCACAATAAAACCATCATTAGGCATGTTATTAGCACAGGGGTATACAGATGCGGTCCTCTCGCTGGAGCCTTAGGTATACCTGGTCTCGGTCCTGTGGGGTGAGAGGGGGTCCAGCCTGATCCCGCTCCTGGGGTTTCGAAGCCATCAGAATACACATTAAGCTGAGAATTCCACACAATCACTGAAACGTCCGTCCTTCCTGCCCTCACTGCTCCTTGCGGGCACAGGACTGCCCTACTTTCCCAAGGCTGAAAGCGGAGATGGACCTTTGTCACTCCACGCCATGAACATTTATAGGATGTTAAAAAATAAATAAAAGGGGGGCGCCTGGGTGGCTCAGTCGGTTAAGCGTCTGCCTTCGGCTCAGGTCACGGTCCCAGGGTCCTGGGATCGAGCCCCGCATCGGGCTCCCTGCTCCGCGGGAAGCCTGCTTCTCCCCCTCCCGCTCCCCCTGCTTGTGTTCCCTCTTCGCTGTGTCTCTGTCAAATAAATAAATAAAATCTTTAAAATAAATAAACAAATAAATGAAAGGATCACATGAATAAAGCCATTCTGCAAGGCAAGCACGATGCATCACAGACTGAGTCTGCTCTAAATCAAGCCAGCCTGGGCCAGCCTGGACAGCAGGCCCCTAACAGTGGGGCCTGCCTTGTCCCCGTAATCCCGCACAGGCGCCGGAACAATGGCCCGGGTGTTCTGTCCCCGGCACCAGCCGGGCCCTTCCGTGTGGCAGACGACAGCCGGGGCGGGGCAGCCAGGCATGCTGTCCGTCCGGCCAAGCCCCCCGACCCCAGTCCGGGCGTCACCACCGTCCAGTCCGACTTGCCCGGGGGGCCTGTCTTGTTTTGTCTTGCTTTCCCCTGGGCACAGACCTATCTCAGTTTCTCAGCCTGGCCCTGAGCACAGACTAGAGACCCCAGGTCAAACCTGCTGATTTTGAACTCCTCTGCTGCTCCGGCCTGGGTCTGGCTGCTTGCGAGCCAGGGCTTTGGGGCAAGTCCTAGCACTGCCCTGGGCCCAGTTTCCCCATCTGTTAATGCACCTACGCAGCAGGCCCCGGGGGAGGGATGAACTGGCTGACGTCAGCACCGGCAAGGGTGGGCAAGGCCGGGACCTCTGGTGCTGCTGATGGTGGGGACTCCGGTCCGAGCCATGTGCAGGACAATGAGGCTCAACCTCAGACTGAGCATCTTCTACGGAAATAATGCATGAGGGGGATAGAAAGCTGTGCCTCACGGGTCTTGTCAAAAAGGGGAAGCTAGGAATAAGCAGCCACCGCAGCCAGGTCTTTCCCAGACATGCTTCTAAGCATTGCCCTCTATTTGCTCAACCCTAAGAGGCAGATACTGTATTACCCCTGTTTTGGACTTCCGAGGACTGAGGCCCAGAGAAGGTAAGCAACGCACCCGAGGCTGCACAGCAAGCACTGAAGCTGAAATCTGAGCCCACACCATCTGGTTCAAAGAGCTCCACTGCAGACCACAGCACTGCAATGCCCCTCTGCCCAACACAGTAAAATGAGGTTCCTTTAAAGGAATGATGCCCTAAACAAAGTGCCACACTTTTTAAATGAAAATGTTTCAAAGCGGAATGGGACCTAGCAAGTCAACCCACTCAACTCTTCATTTTCTAAGTAAGGAAACTACAGCCCGGGAAGGAAAGAGATTTGGCCACGGCCAGGCACGGGGCACAAAGATCGGCCTTTCTTGATTCTAGCGTCTCTTATGTCCATTTACATTGTCTACATTTCAGCCAAAGTACAAGGATGTGGGTCTATTACTTTCATTACAATAAAACCCAAGGGTTTATCAGCAATCTTATAGTCAATCCACTTATTTTTCACATGGAATTCATGGCAAGAGGCATGTGGAGAAGTGCCACAGTCCACAAGACACAGAATCCAGAATGGCCCGTTGGGAAGGTCCCTTAGAGAACATCTGTTCTGAGTCCCTATTAAACAGACGGGAAACTGGCTGGTGCGCCAGGATCAGCGGGATTTTAGTGACTGTGGAAAGACACATTGTGCCAGCATAATTGACCCTTTGTAACTTAAATGGCTGTATTTGCAACTGTAGCATAAATGTGAGGTATTGTGATAGCTTCAGATAATAAAACCTTTTAAATGCAGAAGTGAAAAAGGCAAAAGGTAATGGTCAAAATGTTACACCGCACCTGCAGTTCGAGACGGCATCCCAGCTCCCCCACCACAGTGGACAAGGGGGTCTTTCCATCTACCAGCATCCCTTTAACACCTGGGAACATGCCTGAGCTGCCAATCATGAAGCCCTGGGATGTGCATGTGACCTAAGTTGAGCCAATCAGGGTCCTTTTAAGGGAATGATTGACACTGAGGGCTCCCTCTTCCCCTGGGATCAAGACCCAGAAGAGAAGAAGCACCCTAGCCTGGCCCGTTGCTGCTGTACAGAGGCCACCTGAGGCCAAACCCAGAGAAGAGAGAGATGAGAGGAAGCTACTGCTGGACCCCTGGATCCAGCCACACCTGAAGGCCGAAAACCCTGCACTTCCCAGTTTAGAGAGCCAGGCAATTCCCCTTTCTGCTTCAAGGTCTTTGAGCTTGCAAACAAATGGATTATGACCAACAGTTCCAAGTGAAACTTCACACCGAAGAATTCTATTTCCCGAAAAATCACCCTCGGCCCCTGGCTCACTCAACCAAACTGAGCCGAGTTCTAGACCTGAAAGGAACTCTGTAGCCCGCTCATGGGGACGGGGTTTCCTTTGGAGGTGACGGAACAGTTCTGGAACTAGACAGGGATGGTGGTTGCCCAACAGTGAATGTGCTTTAACACCACTGAGTCATATGCTTTAAAATGGGGAAAATGAGCAATTTTATGTTACTGCATTTTACCACAGTTTTTTAAATGGAAAGAAAAAAGGAGCCCTGCAAGATTCAAAAGACCGCCCCACTGGCAGGTGTTCTCTCCCCACACGCCCTCCCCTGCTGGCCACACAGGCCCGGGCCGGCCAACGGAAGAGGAACATGCGTGGAAGGTGGAATTCAGTAGGTGACCTTTGGCCACAGAACAGGCATTCTGTCATTTTTCATTCTCCTGCCACAAAGGAGACCCCTGAAAGCTGGGCAACCACTAAACCCCAAAGGGACCTGGAGAAAAATAGCCCGTGGGGTTGAGTAGGGGGCTTTCCAGAGCAAGGGCGTCAGTGCTGAGCGGGGTGCAGAGCGGCGTTAGCCAGTGATGCTCACTAGGATGGGAACTCGATGACATTTATTAAATAAACACTTACTGGGTCCCAGACCTGGTGCTAACGTGCTCAGAGAAGATCATCTGACAACTCAGACCTTTTAAAAATGATTTTCACATCCGTTAACTCTGGAACCCCACCTCCTGAAAATGTATCCTAAAGAAATAACTCAGTGGGAGAGACACAGGAACTGTATGTATTAAAATGTGGGTTGGAACATTATTTATAAAAATAAAAACTGGAAGCAACTCAATAGGCCAACAACAGGGGAACATTTAGTACATAACGGTGCACTTGTATACCAAACAGCACCAAACTCAGCCACCAGAAAAACGCTCATTACAAAGACTGCAGCCGCATCATTTATGAAATTAGGTTGGCAGGCATGGCGGGGGGGGGATGCCCACCTAGAGTGCGCCTTGCAGGCTGAGATGCGCTCGCCCCCAGAGCTGGCAGGGAGGATGGAAAAGACAGGCCACGATAATGCAAGGATGAGAATTCTTTTTTTCTTTCCTAACATTATTTCTTAAGTCAAAGTTTTATTTGCGGGATAATTTTAGACTTACAGAAAAGCTGCGGAGAGACAGTACGAGAGTTCCCACATACCCCACACTCCATGTGCATGAGGGCTAACATCTTACGTTCCTGCACTAAGTTGGTCACAACTGAGAAGCTGACGCCGAAACATTACTGTTAACTGAACTCCAGAACTCGTTCCGATTTCACCGGTTTTTCTGTTCCAGGATCCAATCCACGATACCACGTTCTATATAGCCTATTTTTGTGTTTGTTCTGTTTTTGGTTTTTACAATTCAATGGTTTTTCACATAGTCACAGATATGTGCAACCATCACCGTAGTCAATTCAAAAATATCTTCATCCGCTGAGAAAGCAAGCCCGTACCTGTGAGCTACCATCTCCTGATCGTGGGCTTTGAGAAACCCTTTTGTAAAAGAGAGAACCCTTTGGTAAGGAGAGAACTCTCCATCACCTCCCTTTTCCCCTGGTTTATCTTTCTGGAAATCAGATTTTCTCTTCTCGGCATGACCCCAAGCCCTCGCCCCACCTGAACCACCTTGGAAGTTTCCAACAGTACCAATTTTGGTTACATCTGGACCAGAGAAACATCTGGAAATAGAGAGCTCTCTAAGTAAAACTTCAGGAACTCAGGGACAAAACCCCTCTTCCTACTAACCTAGCAAGGACTGGGTAATAAGTGTTATTCCTGAGCACCCACCGCATGCCAGGCAGCTTAGAGGCCATGCATGAAGTCTCCCATTGGGTCCTCATGGCCACCACTGGAAGTCAACCACGATCACCCATGATCCAAGTAGACAGTGGCTACCATTTTGATCACCCTTCCAGCCCCCTTCTTCATGAACCACCTGCCCCATCTCAAAGGCAGGCCCTCAGCTGCCACGTTTCCATTATGTGGTGGTCACAGTCACAAACCTGGCTACCTGCCCACAGCCCGCGCCCCACAGACAACTCTGCGAACATTTCCTCCGTGGCTCTGGGGGTCCAGAGATGTGGCGAACTTTGCTTTACGTCCTAGGAGCCAAACCCAGCCCCCCCGGCCCTGGGGATGGTGATCCTCTGTGGGATGTGGCCCCCCCCTGGACCCAGGAAGAACCCAGACCAATTACCTGCACGACCTCCTTCACCAGGGTCTTGTCCGTCCCGGTTTTGGCTCGCTGCAGCCCACTGACATTCTCGCCAATCCACGTGATGAGGGCAAACTTGGATCTCTTGCTCATGGCATCCCCGGTGGTGAAGCGCACGAAGGCGAACAACCGGACGTCATCTGTCGTCAACAGCAAAAACAGGGCACGATGCTCAATGAAAACGTCCCAAGACTTTGCTCCCGAGGAGGAGGCGTGAGCCAGAATGCTCCCAGAGCAGCACAGCAGGAGCCCGACGCTGACCTTGGCCAACATCCCCTCATGTAACCCAGCAACGGCCCCGCAGGCTCTGAGACCCAGTTCACAGCTACGAACGGAGGGGCACGTGACACTCCCAAGGCCGTGGGGGCAGTTCAAGGCCATACTGGCATGCAAACACAGGCTCAGCAGCCAGAGACACCCCCACCCCCACCCCCCCCTGCATCCCTCACATGGTCAAGGAAGGCTCAGATTCTGGATCTGATTTAGCGAAACCTTCCTCAAGCCCTCTTAACCCCCGAGGTGCTGCTCAGAATGTGAACTAAGGTGGGAGGTGGGGGGTGGGGGGACAGAGTAGCCCCGATCTTGGCGTGGGGTATGGCTCTAGGACCGCTGGGCCTGTCTAGATCATGGCTGGAGGACTGGCGCAATAAAGAATGCTGAGTATTGTTCCACTGGGCCTGTCCTGTTGGTTATATGTTACAGATCTGTTGTTATTAAAAGGCCTCTGGGCGGGGAGGGGGTTTGTTCCACTGGTCCACATCTATCTACCTTTTGTTTCATTACCATGCTTTTTTTCATTATTGTCCCTTCAGATAGCCCGCCATTGCTAGGCATTACCAAAATATTTGCGACAGTCCTGAGTTTTTAGAGTGACCCGTGTGTGTGTGTGTGTGTGTGTTTCCCACTAGGATGAGCTAGGGTTTCTCCACCTCCGCACTCCTGATTCTTGGGGCTGGATCACTCTTAGTGGTGGGGACTATCCTGGGCAAGGCAGGGTGCTGAGCGGCATCCCTGGCCCCCCACCCACTAGATGCCAATATCACACCTCTCCCGCCCCAGTTGTAACAACCAAAAACGTTGCCAGACATTGCCCCGTGTCCTTTTGGAGGCAGAACTGCCCCCAGCTGAGGATGAACTTCTGGGCAGTTTGTGTCCCCACTGAATCAAGACCCTCTTTTGTCTTCCACCAACATTCTGTGCTTTTCTTTGAGGAAATCATATATCCTTACTCAGCTTAGTTCCTAAATAGTCCATATTTTAATTGCGATTATCGGGGAGAGCTCATCACTGTCCCTTACTGGAGATGGCGACCCAGTACCGGCTTCAGGGTTTTCACCTCTGGCTAGGTGCTCGGCTCAGCTCTTCCGTTCTCAAAGGGCATCCAGCTGCTGGCTTTAGGATTTCTCAGTCCCCAAAGCGAGTGGAGAGCTGTGCCTCTTTTTTATTTAAAGATTTTATTTATTTATTTGACAGAGAGAGATAGTGAGAGAGGGAACACAAGCAGGGGGAGTGGGAGAGGGAGAAGCAGGCTTCCCGCCGAGCAGGGAGCCCGATGCGGGGCTCGATCCCAGGACCCTGGGGCCATGACCTGAGCCGAAGGCAGATGCTTAACCGACTGAGCCACCCAGGTGCCCCTGAGAGCTGTGCTTCTCAAGTGTTCGTGTGTATCTGAATCACTTGGGGATCTCGTTAAAATGCACATTCAGAGTCCACAGGCCTCGGATGGGGCCTCGGGGCCTGCACTTTCTAAGTGGCTCCCAGGTGATGCTGATGCTATGGGTCAAAGGACCACACGGGAGCTTTTCTGTATTTTCATTTTTTTGTAAATCAAGGTCTCTTCCTCTTTAGACTTCCCAGGGCCTCCCTGCTGAACCCCACACAGCGTATAGGTTTACACCAAGACCCAAGGCCCCACGCCCTCTGCATATAAAGGAGATCTTCTGGAGCTGGTCAAGTTTGCTGCCTGGTTAGGACATCAGAGCCTGAGCACATCCTGGCCTACAAGGGGTGCTGTCTCATGGGTGGCCAGGGAAGCCAAGGAAAACGGTTCCCAGCTGACCACAGACTCCTGATTCAGACCCTACGGTCCAGGCCAGGTGGCTCCATGGCGTCGCTGTCTTAAAGGGAACAGGTCATAATCACCCAGTCACAGTTTATAAAACACGTTGATGTTTTACTATCTCAGGTGGTCTTTATAATGGTGCTGTGAGGTGGGCCATGGGGGAGGAGGGGACAGCACTGTTGTCTTCATCAACATGCACTTCACCCTGTGACAGATGAGGCTCAGAGGTCATGGGATGTGCCCAAGGTGACACGTGATGGTAAGCCGAGGCCTGGGTGGCCTGAGTGGCCTGGGTTTGTTTGCCCAGCCCCCTTCCTTGGGGGAACTGCCCCCACCCAGCCACAGGAGTCTGGTGGACACCCACTGTGGGAATGGACCATGGGGGTCAGTGGGGACAGAGAAGGACAGTCTCAGGGACATCTCACGGGCCAAATCAACAGGGCTTGGTGGCAGACTGGCCGTGGGAGGGAAGGAAGCAGGAGTCCAGGGACTCCCACATGGGGGCAGGGGCTCCATCTCTTATCCTCAAGGGCTCTGACTTAATCTCCAAGCCTGGAGCCTCAGCTGCCTCATCTGTAAAATGGGGTGATATTTTTTGGTCCTTTCTTTTTTTTTTTTCTAAAAAAAGAAAAAGTCACAGTAAAAGGTAGAAGTCACAAAACATAAAATTCACCATTGTAACTACTTTATAGGGTACGACTCAGTGACATTGAGTACATTCACAATGCTGTGCCACCCAACCCCTACCCATTATAGTCCTTCCCCTGCCCCTCTGCCCAGCCTGAAGCAACACTAATCTGCTTTCTGCCTCTGGATCTGCCTACTCTGGACATTTCACATAGATGGAAGCACACAATCTATGGCCCTCTTTCACTCAGCACATCGGCAGGGTTCATCCACACCGTGGCATCATCAGTCCCTCATTCCCTTTATGGCCAAATAATATTCTAGGTTATGGATATGCCACCTTCTGCTCATCCATTCACCCGCTGATGCATGTCTGGGAGGTCTCCCAATCGGGGTGATTGTGCACCTCCCTCATCAGTCAGCCACAAGGATTAAATAGGAACAGCGTGCAACCCGCCAGGCCCGCCACGGTGGGAACGTCTCCATGAGCTGCCAGGTGGGCAGTGAGCACAGGAAACAGGGTGGTGGGGCGGAGGAACTGAATGTACGCAGCCATGCAAGGCTGGTGCGGACGGCGTGGGGGGAGGCCCCCCGGTTCCGGAGCCGCGCGCGGGAAGCCAGCACGCTCCTCTGAGCAGCCGAGCAGCCGTAGTGGAGGAAACCGAGATGCCGTGGCCGGCGTTTAATGAAATCGCTGCCTTGATCTGAGGGGGAGGCAGGGCTGCACGTCGGGCGCCTCCCGACATGCTCATGCCAAGGCAATGCAAGCAAAAGCACAGCAGCCCGTTTCCATGGGAACCACTCTGTGTCTCCCAGCCCCACCTTGGAAACCTGGAGGCTTGGGTGCCCGTGAGCGCTGCTGGACCCCCAGCGCCCCATCAGTGGCCAAAGCCTCCAGGTGGGAAAGTTGCAAACCGTGTGCCCCACGTACCAGCCTGGGACCGGGTGTGAGATAGACGCACAAGAAGTGAGTCAGGCCCCCCCTCCTCAAGGGCACGGGGAACCTGGCAGCCGTGGACCTTCCCCAATGTCATTTACATTCTAATGGCAAAGGGACGGTTTTCCTGGGTGGCTGCTGGGGCTTATCTGACAATGCTTTGGCCAACGAGATTGCTGACGTTTTTGAAAACCCAAGAGTCACGTTATGCTTACAAATGTTTGCGGCCCCAGATTTGGCCCGACCTGCAAAGTCAGCTGAGTCTGCAAGGGAAAGTCGGTTTGTCCGAGCGACCTTGTTGCAGCTGCCCACTCAGACCTGGAGCCTCTCTATCCCACTCACCCTGAAGGAGGCTCTGAGCCCATTCGGACCTCCAGCCGGCTGGTGCAGGGAGAAGTTCTTGACCTTAGTCATGCCTTGGGCCACCTTCCCTCTTCTGGACAAACGGGGCCACAGCATGGCATCTGAGTGACAAACAGCCCTCCCCTCCCTTTTCTCCTGCTGGTACCCGGCTCACACACAGGAAAACGTGGGTGTACCAACGGAAAGGCAGAGCTAAGCCACATCGTACACGTGGATAATGCGTGCTCCTGCATGTGTGTGTGCACTATGATGGAATCTGGCTGGGAGGACGTGGGTCTTTGAGACGGCCGTCACCTTCATAGTGCCGCTCAGTCCCCAGAGGGCCAATGGCACATCTTTCCAGCCTGAGGCTCAGAAGCTGAGGGTGCAGCTCCAGGTAACCCCGGTGGGGTTACAGACAGACCCCTGAGCTCCCTGCCTTCTATAGAGACTTCTGCACAGCTGTCTACACCGGCTGCCGCCTCAGCCGTTCACCTTCTGCTCCCCAGCATCCAGGTTAACAGCCCAAGTTCCGGAAATCATTAGAAGCTCCCCCACCTTCATGCCAGCTCTGTGACCTGCACCAGATGCACCCACGGCTCTAAACCTCAGTGTCCCCCAACTGCATAGTCCTGACGCGGCTGTGAGGATGACAGGAAACAGGATACGCGCCGGGCATGGCTCCTGGGCCCCCACCTCTCCGCTAAAACTGCCCCGGGGGCCTCAGTGCCTCCAACCCACGAGACCCAACCGTGGCCTTCCTGCCTCTCCCTCCCCACTGGCTTTCTGCGCCCCCCCCCCACACTTACACTCGCTCCTCTGAGCGTCAAAGCAGGGGCGTTCCCAGGCACACAGTCTTCAGCCATTGCTCGGCGAGCACTACTCGCGGGCCTACTGGGTGCCGAGCACAGTGGCAGGCAGATCAGACAAACAAGCGTGCTAAGGATAACAGAAGCCGTTTACTGAGCGCCGACGACTTGCCGGGCATCATTCGAAGCGCATACACGTGCTGGCACATTTCTTTATCCCAAGCTCTCTGTGCGGTCAGCTCTGCTCCCAGGCCCATTTTACAGCTGAAGAAACTGAGGCTCAGAATGCTGACGTGGTAAGCAGCCAGACACCACTTTCCCTGCCCGCTGGAGCACCGGTTGAGAGCCGTTCCCAGAGCAGGG